CAGTCAAATTGCGACGCCGCGAAAGTTTGTCTCAACTCGGTCTTGAATGCTGCCGTAGAGCCAGAGCGGACGTGAACCTCAAACCAGGCGCCAGACCAGTTTTTGGATCCAAATATCAAGTGCCATACGCAACCCAACCAATAGTGGAGTCTGAGTTAAATCGCCTGTAGTCGGAAGGGATAATCGAGCGCGTACCTTACTCAGAATGGTCGGCACACCGTTGTGGTGAAGAAAGGAAACGGCAAGGTACGTATTTATGCCAACTTTTCAACCGGCTTAAATTCAGTGTTGGCGAATCATCAGTATCATTTGCCTATACCCGAAGATCGGTTCACTAAGCTTAACGGTGGTAAATGGTTTGCGAAGCTCGGTCTAGCTGATGCTTACCTACAAGTTCCAGTAGCCGAGAAATGCAGAACACTACTGACGCTCAACACACATTTTGGACTTTCCAGTACAATCGGTTGCCATTCGGAGTAAAAACTGTTCCCGCCATTTTTCAACAAATCATGCATACGCTACTGAACGATATCCCTGGGGTCACAGTAGACTTGGATGACGCATTGATAATGGGGTCTGACCCACAAAATTTGCTGGCCACGTTAGACAGTGCTTTCATGTCTAGAAGAAGCTGGCTTCAGGTTACGAGTGCAAAAATTTAATTTCCTGATGGGAAGTGTCAAGTTTCTGGGGTTCATCATTGACGAACATGGCCGTTGTCCGGATCCCGCTAGTATAGAAGCCGTCAAGCTGATGCTACCGCCAAGGGATGTTGCCGAATCTCGTCCATTCCTCGGTCTGGTAAGCCATTATAGTGCCTTCTTGCCAAGTCTACATAAGACAAGAGGTCCTCTGAACGAGTTGCTGATGAAAGGGAAATCATGGCGATGGACAAAAGAGTGCCAACAATTCTTTGATACAGTTAAGGCAGAGCTTAGTTTTGATTTACTCTTGACGCACTTCAACCCAAACTTGGAGATTATTGTTGCTTCGGATGCACCCAGTTATGGAGTGCTGTCATTTCCCACGTGTTTCTAAGGAGAGAAGAGGCCATTGCATACGTAGGACGATCGCTGACAGCGGCGGAGAAAAATTACAACCATACTGAGAAGGAAGCGCTGGCGATTCTTTTCACAGTGAAACGCTTTCATAAGATGCTATATGGTAGACATTTCAAACTCATCACGGACCATAAACCGTTACTTTCGATATTTGGATCAAAGAAAGGTATTCTTGTTTTCACAGCAAGTCGGTTACAAAGATGAACAATCGTACTGCTGGCTTACGATTTCAGTATACAATACCGATCCGCGCAACCATTTGGCCAAGCTGACGCTCAGTTCCCACTCGAAGGAAAACGATGACTACGTGATCGTATCTGTCGCATTCGAGGCGGAAGTTCAGCGGATCCTGGTTGACAGTGTAATAGAGTTGCCAGTAACTTCGGACACAATTCGTGCAGATACTGCTCAAGAGGAAATCTTGCTGAAAGTGATAGGGTTTGTGCAGTCCAGTTGGTCTAATGTCAAAATTTCGACTGATTTACGACTTCTCTTCAGTCGGCGCGGATATCCTTTGGTCGTTGATAACTGTCTAATGTTTGGAGACCCAGTCGTGGTGTCAATGAAGTTACGGAAGCGAATCTTACAGCAGTTTCATTCAGGACATCCGGGAACTAGCCGAATGAAGGCACTCGCACGAAGTTTGGTGTACTGGCCTCAAATTGTTTCAGAAATCAAACAGTTTTGCCATAGTTGTCAATTTTGTCAGCAAGCGGCGAAGGCACCTCCAAAATGTCCGTGGCAACCTTGGTGCGAATCGGAGAAGTCCTGGCAGAGAGTCCGCTTGGATTATGCGGGACTCATCAACGGTCAATTTTATCTGATTTCTGTTGATTCCTTCACAAAGTGGCCAGACTTGATTCCGATGCAAAATCCCACACCTCAGCACACTATCAATGAGCTGAACAAACTGTTTCAGTATTTTGGCACACCGGATATGCTGGTTACGGACAACGGAACACAGTTCACACCAACGCTGTTCCGAAAATTTTGCATGCAAAACGGAATCCGCCGTACCACCCACAATCAAATGGGCAGGTCGAACGGTTTGTTGATCCCTTTAAACGTGCTCTTCTCAAAGCGGAAGGAACGAGGGTGTCACGAGAGGCAATTCAGCCGTTTTTGATGATTATCCAAAAACTCCGAATCCAAACACACCGGAGGGCAATCTCCTGCTGAATGTCTATTTGGACGAAAAATTAGCACATTTGATAGGCTGATCCCAAGAAATGTTGGAAAACGCAACGAACAAACGAAAGTGGAGCAGGATAACAGACTTCTGAGGTTTAAGATCGGCGATTTGGTGTACGCACGAAACTTCCAGAACACGGGAAATCGGTCTAGCGGAACGGTTATTGGTGAGAGGAGTAGGGTTATTTATGAGACAATGCTCGCGTGAGCAACGAGCTTGTTCGACGCCTTGGTTATGACACAGGAAAAGGAACTGAACCGCTCAGCACCGTTATTTCACGCATCAGGCTCCGATGGCTCGGCCACGTGTTACGCATGCCAGCCCACCGACTCCCGCGACGTGTGTTGTTTGCGCGCCGGGAGTGTGGATGGAAGAAGAGGAGGGGTGGCCAAGCGATGACTTGGTCCAGAGGAATGAAGGCCCTCACTTCTGAGCTGGCCTCGGTTGGAGCGTCTCGGCTCCCTGGTTGGGGACCAAAAGACGATGAACACGTTTGGTTGGACACACTTGCTGATATGGCTAGGAGCCGACCTCAGTGGCGTTCGTGCTGTGAGTTTCTTTGTCCCACCCCATCCCTCTTAGCCTGCCCCTTTAACCACGATCTCATTATTTAGCCTTATATAATTTTGCATAGTAATTTTTTTGGTGCACAGCAGCCGGCTGGTAGCTTACCGGAACGATACCCATCCGTTACCGGTAGCTCAGTCAGCTTGCACCAGTTGCATTTTTTCTCTCTCCTTTTTTCTATGTATTGCGGCACAGTAGCTGAGGAGTTCCCCACCTCTAGCTAACGTGTATGATGATGTTGATGATGCTCGGAAAGGACAAGTGGACCAGACACGTCAAGCATCTAGGTCCGCGGCTTGAAAACACCAAAGGACCTCAAGAACCAGCAGCACTACAGTGGGACATACCACTGGATACATTTGGTTTGGAAAACGGAACTGACCCCCAGAGCGGAACACAGCCGGTCGAACACGCGCCACACGACCTGTCATGAAGGCCAAGTCAAAGAAGAAGGCAACCGCGATGGCTACAAGTGGAACCCAGGGTAGAAAGCTAAGACCAAGCCTATGTGCAGAAAATAGATAGGAGCAATCAGTTCGAAGGGGAAGTAATAGAGAGCTAAGCGGAGCCAATGTCCGGATACGAGGTTGCGCGCGGGCTTACCATGGAGCACGTGCGCTGTCTGCTGCACGTGAAAGTCATCAGCACGGGTGTGGAACCACCGACCGTCCCGCCAAATATGGGAATCGCGTGCGAATTGATTGGCCAGCAAATACAAACCCACGTCAAGGGAGGCGAACTATTCAGCCAAGTATGGTAAACTCGTGGGACGGAATTCATTCACATTGCTGAGAACCAGACGCAGAAGACTGGGTGGCCTGGGTTTCCAAAATTAGTATGTTTCATTCACCAATAGATAGAATTGACCTATCATGTAGAATATACCCTGTTTACCGAGCCTTGGTCTATCGTATTCCTACGGGCGGCTGGGCGCGTGGCTAAGCAGACAGATGGTCGCGGTCTCACAGGTGAAGCAGTGCAGCACTACAACACATATTAGCGGCAGGTATGCCTTCATGAGAACATTTGATTTTCTACCTATGCATTGGGTCTCTACGCAGTCCCCAGAACTTCTGGCTGCTCGCCGACGTGCTACGACTGGAAACCAACACGATAATCGTAAAAATCTCATGGGGGAACTGCGTGCCAATAAGAAAACAGACCGTGGAACTTGATGGTCTCATCGTGCATCGAAAATTGAATCAGCCACTACTCTTATAACCGTCGGAAGTAATTCCGTCTTATACCGGAAATGGGCGGTAGGAGACTTGATGTCAGGGAGACTATATGCGACGAAAGTGGACAACCCCTCCGCAACCTGTCAAAATGCTTGCAGCGTTGGGCTGATTAATTTGAAAAATAATTTAATCGGCCGAAACTACTAAATTCGCTGCCTGCCATGCTAACTGGACTGCCTACCTTAATCCACTCGTTCGAACAGAAGTCGGATTACTAAGGCCATTGAATTAGATTAGCTTTCTCCAGCTAGTGAAACTGTGACAGCAACCGACTGGAGTTGCTTCATTACTGCCTCGATCCTCAAAGGAGCTCACGTTTGGTATGCACCATTTGTGGAGGAATCAGTCTGATCTTCATCGCCTCTGGTACTTACCTCTGTCTTCCTACACAAATTAACTGGTACCTGTGAAAGCCAGGTTCGTGAAGAATAAATCGAGTGTAGTTAGGTGTTGACAACATCCTCACTTTACGCCAGTCATCAGTGACCCGCCATGGTCGTTTTCTTCGACATCTAAAGTATTATAAACGTCTTTGTTGTGTTCCGACTGCATCAGTTGGAACGGACGAACTCTTCACTCGTTGTTTCCCACGCGCAGAGTAGCTTAGTCGATTCGTATTGGAAGGGTTAGTAGACTTAACCGGTAGACGTGAACTCGTAACTGCTAAGGCAGACGGAACGCGTAAAGGCCGCACGACTGTACCGAGACCTGCAGAAAGAAGAGTGAGCAGTTGTAAGAGTGCTTTACTGCCTCAACTAAGGCTATCGTGCTTTCTAAACCTTCATATTTATAGTTCATTAAAACAGCAGTAATTGTTTAAACCATGAGAAAAGGCGTATATTTGTTGACACGAGTTGCCATGAGGAGGTGGGGTGGGTTCGATGCTGTTAACACGATGGGCACAGCACAGTTGCTTAGTGTGCTCGGTGGCTAAGGCATTGCCATGAACACGGCTCAGAAAACAGACAGCTGACTTCAGGAGAGTCTGGAAGATACGATAGTGAGACTGGGGCGAGTTCAGTAGAAACTGTGCGGAATACGTTGGCCGTGTTCTTACTGAAAACAACTCCGTTGTGATCTGCGCAGTTGAGTGGACCCTTAGAGGCAGTTTCCGCAGGGAGAGCTCCGCTCAGAACTGGGTAGTTTGGGTCTCTGCATAGCGACCGTGTTGTTTAGGCCCGCACTGTACTGGCGCCTGGGAAACCCGGATGAGTTTTGCATCGCTGTGCCAGCACTCTAAAGAAAGGTCACTTCGATTCTGTGATTCGACGTGCCTTTTGCACTGTTTTGTCGGGAAAAGTGTGCTCGAGAAATACGCGCGCAGTTCATGGAGAGTGAGGGCTCATTGGAGGCTGTCGCCGCACTTTAATATCCCCTGCAGCTTGAGGCAATGATGACCGTTATCACCCTGCGTTTTTGACGTTGCCGTTGACAAAGTCATGGGAACTGCGTTACCTGGACATGATGTATTGTAAATTTTCGGGTAGTTACCCGGATTCCTCCGCGAATCCGGATCAACAGGTTTCTGGTGCTTCAGGCGCGCCCAGCGGTTCCTACCGCGGCCTGCGCGTAGCCTTTACTAACGTCTGCAGTCTTATGAACAAGCGCGATGAGCTGTACTATTTTGTAACCTGAGACATGGTTAAACTCCGACGTAAGCCCCCAAGAAGTGGAAATCAGCGACTACTCATGCTTCCGCTATGATAGACCATCAAATAATCGCGGTGGCGTTCTGCTTTACATAGCCTTCTTTGTGTGGGAGACTAGTGAGCGCCTGCTGAAGCGCTGATGGTCTATGAGTGGTGTACGATCCACCTCAGACGCTGCGAGATGCTCGTAGACGTGGTATATTGCAGTCCACTGAGCAGCTGCTTGGACTGGTTGCCACATGTCCGCAACCACATGAGTCGTCAGCTGTTCCTACTCATGGGCGATTTCAGCTTACCCCGAATACAGTGGCCTGAAGCTGAACTTCTCCCCGGCCATTGTGAAGTCGAGAGGAAGTTTACGAAGTTGATATTTGAAACCGGCGGCATACAGCACATCAACCAACTGACACGCATAACTGCGCGCGCGACTCCATCGTGTTTAGACCTGTTTTTGACCAGCTGTGAGCAACGTGTGCATGACATTCAGGTCTTAGAGCCTCTGGGAGCGAGTGACCATTCGATTATCCTAGCCAACTTGGAACTGCCGCTGCCGTATTCTCCCCTGCTGGAACCAGCCTTCAACTAGTGGAAGGCGGACTTTAATGGCATCACTCGAGCAGCGAGCCAGATGGACTAGTCTTTACCAGAGGATTCGTCTATTGAAACCTGTTGGACTATCATTAAAGAGTGAAATCATTGTGCGCCCGATTTGTATCCCTCAAGTATCGGAAAGTTGGGCCAGTCAAACCACATTCGTTCGACGAGGATTACAGCAAACTGGCTCGACGCCGACTATGGAACAAATTCGTGTTATCTGGCTCTGATGACGACTACAAGGCGTACAAGGTACAGCAACGCGAAAACAAAAAACGCGGAAGCTTCGAAGAGCACCTTGCAACCGCTGCAAAAACTGCTCCCAAGAGGATCTTCGCCTACGTGAAGCGCCGCCTGAGGCCTGCAGGCAATATTCCAGTGTTGGAAGGCTCAGATGGACAGCCCCTCACCTCGAGCACAGATTGTGCGTCCGCATTGGTGGCACACTTCGCCTCCGTATTTGCAAGTGACCAGGTGTCTGTAACGAGTTCGACGAGTACCGCTCCCGCTGAACTAGACAGTCTAGACTGCAGCACTGAAGATGTACGCAAGCTTCTAGCAAGTCTTGACGGAACGAAGCCTGCCGGGCCAGATGGAATCCACCCACTGATTCTCAAGTCCCTATCGGCCTTCATCTCCCCTTCTGTAACTGAGCTGTTCAACGGGTCACTATCCACTGGAATATTACCGGGTGACTGGAAATTCTCAGTCGTAAAGCCAATACCGAAAGGTGGTAACCCAAGCAAAGTGGATAACTGCCGGCCGATCTGCCTGACCGCTGTTTTGGCAAAGACGCTCGAGAAGATCGTGAAGAAGAGCCTTCTGCAGCTTCTCGAGTCGAAAAGTCTCTTGACGCCCGCACAGCATGGTTTCGTGAAAGGTCGCTCGTGCATCACCAACCTACTGTTGACGAGGCGCGAATGGTTACAAGCGCTGAACCAAGGTAAATCGGTCGATGTCATTTACATTGACTTCAGTAAGGCTTTTGACAAAGTAAATCATGCAGTGCTCCTCGACAGACTGAAGATGTGCGGTGTTGGTGGCTCGCTGCACCGATGGATCAGGAATTTCCTTGTTGATCGAAAGTGGAGGGTCCAGGTGGACAATCATTTAACCGACTGGTATCCATCGAGCAGCGGCGTGCCCCAAGGCACTGTACTGGGGCCGATATTGTTTCTAATCCATGTAAACGATGTGCCTCAGTTACTCCAATCACCTTGTGTGTTGTTCGCAGATGACTCGAAGGTGTGGAGAGTAATCCGCACACCCAATGATTGTGATCTGCTTCAGCAGGACCTCGACCGCCTCTCCACGTGGTCTGCAGAGGTCAACCTTCCGATCAACCCGGTCAAGTCGCAATTCATGAGGCTGGGTAAGTGTGAGAACAGTCGAATCTACACGGTGGCTGGTCAACCGTTGCATCCCGCGCCTTTCGTGCGCAACCTGGTGTACTCTCACACTACGACCTGAAGGCCTTAGACAACACGAATAGGCTTTACTAAAATAGCCTTCGTATGCTTTGGGCGCTCAGGCGCAGCTTCAGCACTTGGTCCGAAGAGATTGCCACTCGCCTCTTCGTCTCAAGAATACGACCAATGCTAGAGTATGGCTCTCCCGTGTATTGTCCTATCACCCGGGGCGAGGTAGAAAAAATTGAGCGAGTGCAGCATGTAGCCACCAGGCTGATTCCCAACTTACGAGGTGTGAGGTACGAAGACCGGTGTAAGAAACTAGGGTTGTACACCCTAGCTTATCGTCAAATGCGGGTTGACCTCATCATGACGCGCCGGATATTACACCTGCGAAATTACCCCATGTTGAGACCGCTGCTTCATCTGCGCACACCAAGCAGCACACGAGAACACTGGTACAAGCTTGTCGTACCGGATTTGAAGCGGGTCGGTCACCAATTCTGTTTCGAACGCAGAGTGGTGCATGTATTGAACGGCCTGCCGCAGCAGGTAGTTGAGGCAAAGTCGGTGTCGGAATTTAAGAAGTTCCTGCACAAACACTGCCGACGCAAAATATATTGTGCGCAACACAACATAACGGGTCTTTGACCCTGAGTGACATTAGACGCAGCTACACAGAGCAAACTCTACTTGCTGCTTACAACCAGTAATCAGTGCCTCGAACTTGATGCTCAACATCAAGCTCCAATCTAGAACAGTGTAGCCGGGCCGAAAATAAGAGTAACGGTCGAGAGGTAGCCACCCCGACACTAGCGGCTGCTCAACTGCAACATTATCAAGCCTGAGCAGCACGGCTTCCGCCGACAGCGGTCATGCACAACGAAGTTACCAATCGCACGCAGTAGTTAGACCGAGTCAGCTGACGCTGGAGAAGGCGTTGATTTGAGCTACCTAGGTTTTTCGAAGGCTTACGATCGTTTAGACTTACTAAGCCCCAGCACTGCGGGATCGGTGATCCTCTTCTAAGCTGGATTGCCAACTTTCTACTTCGACGGCAATTAGTGGTCAGAGTTCGGAGCTTATTATCGGACCCCATACAAGTCGAGTGTGGTGAGCCGCAAAGCTCAGCCCTAAATCCACAGCTGTTTTTGGTGTTTATTAATGGCCTCGCACAGGCAATCACTTCAAACTTCCTAATGTTTGCCGATGATATCAATATTTGACGCAGGACTCAAGTGAATGCCCACCAGCATCTGTCCAGTGACCTAGACACGGTATCTCAATGGTCAACCAGGAATTTACTGCATTTCAACGTGAGTAAATGCAAGGTAGTTTCCATCAGACATCAGAGCAGCTACTCATAGCGGTTCGGAAGGAATGCACTACAACAAGCAACTTTCGATTGTGATTTGGGTGTGCTGGTTCAAGATGACTTGGGCTGCTCCAGGCAATCCGAAAAGGCCTCGAGGGCTGGAAACCAACACGTCGGGCTGTTGCGACGGGCGTTTGGACAAATAAAGAGCTCCATATTTTGACAAATGCTCAGAGCATATGTTACCCCCCATGTCAAATACGCAATTCAAGCGTGGCATCCATGGTTGAAACTCGACCTTAACCCACTGGAGCAGCCCCAACGTCGGGAATCAATGAACGTATTTGGAATGCGCAGTCTTTCATAGGAGAAGAGGTTGAAACGATTAGAAGTATTCGGCGGACGATATCTCAGATTCCGAGGCGACCTGATTATGGCATACTTGATTCTGCGAGACCCGCATCATGTGTGCCGCCCTTTACTGCGACTCAGCGCCAATACAAACCTGAGGGGCCACTCACTGAAACTCCCTGTACAGTATAGCCGTCTGAAGTGCCGGGGAAATTTCTTTTCCATTCGTGTCGGTCACCCGTGGAATGCTCTCCCAGAATCGGTCGTCTTTGCACCGACGCTAACAATATTTACAAAACGGTTCGATGACGCACTCATTCACTTACACTTTGTCACTTGGCGCTAAGTCTCCTGGAATGTACCATGGATTTATTTGATATTAACTGTGGGTGTTGTGACCCTACTCGGATTGCAGAACTACAGCGGAGTAAAAGATATGTATTTACTTTCCTATTAAAGGTATGAACCGTTTTATTATTATTATTATTATTATTTTGATATCCTCAGCAACTATCCAAAAGGACTTGTAAAGCAACGCTTCTTAACTCGTATAAATGCATTCTTTTCTGAGAAATGGTGCGACAAGTAATTCTTGGGCAACAAATTAAGATTTTTTAAAATAAATACCATTCCATCGTTGAATACCGCAGTTCCATTTATGGGAACAATTGGAAGAGTAGAAGAAAGGTTCAGAAAATTCACAAACGCCTTCACCAGCAACGTCATCTAGTTGCGACGATTGAAGTACTGTTCGATGCTCCTGTACAGTCCGTTACACCAGAAGACCTACTCCAGTCGGCATCCGTTAGAACTGCATCGCACTTTCATTCATAGACTTCGCAACAAGTGGTTACAGATAAACCCTCTTGTGATATAGCCTACCAACCACAACCAGGTCCGGTGTAAACGCGAAAAAATTCCGCATCAAACTTGAGAGATTCTTCTAGCAGAGCTCGATAATGACCATATTTTCGGCTAGAAAATTGCCAAACGTACCCTTTCAGGATGGACTGAGAAATTAGCCAGTGGGGACAGAAAACAGCCACAAAAGTAATTCAACGACAATGGAATCTGCATATCCCACAATGTGTCAGCACGTGTTATCTTGCTCATGCGAAATCATGAATAAACTGGGTATAATGATGAGTCCTGATTTCAGGAACAGCCTATCGCACACTCAAGAAATTCACTTTATCGCTAATATTGTTATTATTACTTCACTGCGAAACGCTATCGCAATGACTGGCTGGCCTAAATCTAGTATCCTCCTTTGATTCCCCAAAATTCTAACGGCCACAAACTTCAGTATGCCCAGTTCGAAGGTAAAACATGAGAACCAGAACGTATATTATTCTAAACGATGTCTGTACACAGTATACGCAGATAAAACCGGTCAGCTTAGAAAAAGAGGCAGGTGTAAACGCATGTGGCTGCACTGGGAATAGAGTGGTGAAATTAAAATGCATTTTATCGCTGAAAGCAGCATGGAGATCATGAGAAATGAAAATGCAACTGCGAAATCTCCGTATCACGAAACCAGAAGCGCGCGTTCTCAAACCCATCATTTAGGTATACTAGAGCCTATGGTTTTGGGGAAGTAAGCTGAAGTCAGGGATTGTTGGAATAACGTTGGGTCTGTCTCCTCTTGACCAGGATTGGAATCGGAATGTACAGCCTCACTCGGGTAACCGGACGCAATCGGTCTCGAAGGTAGCGAACTGGATGTCGCAAGGTTTGATTGGCGCTGTTTCGCCAATGAAGCAGATGGGACGTAGGTGGATGGGCGATAGTCTGACACTTTGGTGTCTGTAAAGCAGAGAAAGTGGAAAGTAACGTTCAACATAAGGAATTTTGGAGAAGGTTCATCACAGCCTCAATCAAGCAGTCATTGCACATCTTGGAAAGCAATGGACCGTCGATAGATATTGGGTGTTGCCCCGGAAAACACTACGCTCGACGATTGATTTCGAAGTTATTTGATTTCACCAAATCCGATCACGGTAGTAACGTGCAAGTCATTGGATAGTGAACGGCGTTATGTCACATCAAGTGACTTAGTCACGTCGAACGTAACCGTCCCCCCCTGGCACAGCGCTTTTTACCACGAACTGGTAGCAGTCGGGTTACGGGTTCCAGACCCCAAGGAGCCAGATGGAGTGTGCATAGCTGACGATTCCGGAAAGGATGGAACAATTGTATAGTGCTTTCCCAGGCGTGTGATGGCTATCTAACTGAGTCTAGATGTGACAAACTACTGCTTGAGATCAAATAAGTTGGAAACTAGTGTAGAGCGCAGTGTTTCTCGGCGAGCAACACCCAATATAAATTGGCTTCATCATATACGGTGGAGTTATAAGACGACATCACAACACATGCAGAATGAAGCTGGCCACAGCGTCACCCAGAAAGGAAGCACAGGCATTTCGGTTAACGCAGAACCAACGCAAACACTTAGGCCAAAAGGATGACAGTGTCAGCGCACCCAAGTGCGGCTCAGTCACGACAACGGCAATCCTTCTGGATACACTCATGCTGAGAATGACGTCGCATATACCATGCTTTTCACCACAGTTGGGCTACACCGCACTTAAACTAAATCTGTTTAACTTGGTCAAAAGGCATTCCACTTTAATTGATTTGCTCATTTCCGTTATGCGGCTGCATATTCCATGTCAGTTTTCGTGTTTATCCTCCTCAAATTCTGTTAATTGTTTGATATCCCCGGTGTGTCTGCACATGTTGACAAGGTGTCTACCTGTCTAACACCCTTCAGCTCGAGTAGTGGCTCCAAGAGACTGTGAACTGTTCCTGACGGGACGAAGTGAACGATCTTCGTAGCCGTGCTCGGCTGAAAGTGTGGTTCCATGCAATGCGGAGCGGATTACCGTCCAGCCACCGCCTTGTGTACGTCAATTATTTGCACACGTACCCTGTCAGGTAGCCGAGAACCCAACGCTTTTGCTTACAATGGTGTGCATACGGCTAGCGTGCGAATGAACGAAAGTAAATGCCGACGGTGGATAGTCCACGTTCACGAGAGCGTACGGGTTTTACCGAAAATCCATCCATCGATCGTGCTCAGAACATTTTCGGAATGCCATTATTTTCCCAAGTACTTTTTGTGGCGTTAGTGTGTTTGCAACTCATTCCGAGAGATTTCGTTCCTTTTCAGGTTTAGTGAAACTGTGGTTGGGTTTAGCATTCCGATCACTTGCACAATCTCGTTGCACTATGTATGGCCAGAGTATTCCAACGTCACGCACCACCCTATGGTGCTATGGTGAACTGTCATATTATTGTAATAAGACAGAAAATTTGTAGATCAAGTTGTTTTGGTGGTAGTCGAACTATTGGCTGAGCTTGGCAAGTTTGTTGCAAACGTTTCGTCACCAATCGATGTGACATCCTCAGTGCGTTGTTGAGTAGCGTAGCATAGGGAAGCTTTGATGAGTGTCATATTATGTCATCATCATCAACCCCATCAACCATTCTGAACGCGGATCGAAGTTCTAGCCAATAGGATTGCTCGTCTCCACGGACAACCACGGCTTTATAAAAACGCACGCACACCACGCACAGCGCACTCTCACCGAGACTTCTCTACGCTACTGCATGCCACTCAACTACGCACTGATGACGTCACCTCGATTTGTGACGAAACGTTTGCAACAAAATTGCCAAGCTCAGCGAACAGTTCAACTGTCATTTCATATTTTGCGTACGCTTAGTTTTCTATGGATAATCTATGCATGCTGTTGTCTGCACTGATCACAAGCCTCCGTCGGTTCTTTTGTGTCCGTACAAGCTGGTGCATTTATAAATTCTTTATTCCCGGACCATGTGTGAGGCACGCCTGTATAGGCATGATCATGGGTAATTCTATTAGCTCTTTTTCTACTGCATAATCGCCCGGTGAACCACTTCAGGTATTGGGTCCTCCGTATTATCCGCGCCACCTGTACAGAAGCAAATCTCACGTCCGGAGCTTCCCTCACATCGGGATCGAATCAGACATCATACTGCAGTTCATCACGAATGCGCATGAAAAGCTCTACTTTAACCTCCTTCTAAGTCAACACATTGGCAAGATGGATCCCACTTACCTGTGGAGAGATATGCTCTGATATCTAGACGTCCCCTGTACCTCCGCATGAGGTAGTATGCTAACGTTCAAATATGCCGTCGTTATTTTTTACAAACTCGTATATGCCCATTTATGTGTTGATTGTGTGTGTTCGCTTCATTTACTGACACGCTCAAGCAATTCTCGGCTACAATAAATAATTCTGTTCTCGCATTTAGCCTTAAGTTGGGTGGGTATATTTCTTACACCCATTGATTTTTGGGTAAACGTACGGAGAACCCAATACCTGAAGTGGTTCACCGGGCGATTATGCAGTAGAAAAAGAGCTAATAGAATTACCCATGATCATGCCTATACAGGCGTGCCTCACACATGGTCCGGGAATAAAGAATTTATAAATGCACCAGCTTGTACGGACACAAAAGAACCGACGGAGGCTTGTGATCAGTGCAGACAACAGCATGCATAGATTATCCATAGAAAACTAAGCGTACGCAAAATATGAAATGGCAGTTGAACTGTTCGCTGAGCTTGGCAATTTTGTTGCAAACGTTTCGTCACAAATCGAGGTGACGTCATCAGTGCGTAGTTGAGTGGCATGCAGTAGCGTAGAGTAGCCTCGGTGAGAGTGCGCTGAGCGTGGTGTGCGTGCGTTTTTATAAAGCCGTGGTTGTCCGTGGAGACGAGCAATCCTATTGGCTAGAACTTCGATCCGCGTTCAGATTGGTTGATGGGGTTGATGATGATGACATAATATGACACTCTCATCAAAGCTTCCCTACGCTACGCTACTGGTTACACGCTATTCAACAACGCACTGGTGATGTCACCTCCCACCTGTACTATTTAAGGATGGAGGTGAGGTCCTCTGCAAAGCACTGACCTCCTTATTCGAATGTATCTGGAAGGAAGCGAGCGTCCCGGCTAATTGGAGCGAATCGATTATAGTGGCAATATACAAGAAGAGCAGTCGCACAGACTGTTCTAACCACAGGGGTATTAGCCTAACGCCAGTTGTGACAAAATTACTTGCCTCGATTCTTGTTCGTCGTTTCTCTGTGGAACGGGTATCTCGGATTAGGGAAGAGCAAGCCAGTTTCCGCCCAGGACGTGGCTGAATAGACCATTATTCTCTCTGCGGCAAGTGCTAGAGCAGCGCCACGCATACCGCAGACCGACAATAGCTGTGTTCCTCGATTTCAAGAGTGCGTTCGGTTCATTCGATCGATCGATTCTGTTCGAAATACTTGCGTGGAAAGGTGTTCCCACGAAATATTCGAACATCCTTCGCGGTACATACTCGAACACTACAGGCCGCGTCAGGGTCTGCGGTGGCCTATCGGGTAGCTTTCCGACCGCAAGTGGTGTTCCTCAGGGTTGTCCGATTTCCCCGTTTTTGTTCAATTTCGTCAGAGATTCTATCATGGAGTGTTCCCTTGCGGAATCTCACGATGCAGGCGTTGAGGTCCTGCCTGGTGAAAGATTAGTTGATCTTGATTATGCGGACGATATTGTCTTGCTTTTCGACGATGTTGCGGCGGCACAATCAACCCTGGATAGCCAGTCCAGAGTGGTCCCATTATTTGGTATGCACTTCGTACCTTCAAAGTGCAAAGTGTTGCTGCAGGAACACCAGCCACTTGTTTGACCCCTTGAGGCTTGCTAACGAGGAACTCGAGGTGATTGCTCAATTCACTTATCTTGTCAGCTGCATCAGCAACGATGTGAACATAGAAACGGAAGTCAGTTCACGTATTGCAAAAGCCAAAACTGCATTCTCGAGCCTGCGGCATCTTTGGCGACAGAAGGGAGTTTCTCTCCGTCTGAAAGGCCGTGTATACAAGGCCACAGTGAGGGCCGCTCTGCTCTATGGTAGTGAGACTTGGCCCCTTCAGTCTGAAGATCTGAGGCGCCTTCAAGTCTTTGATCATCGTTGTCTGCGAAGCATTGCTGGTGTCGGATGGCACCAGTGTGTCCGCAACGATGATGTGCGTAGACGAGCACTAGGTAGTGATAATCATGCTACCTCCCTAGAACAACAGATAGCACTGAATAAGTTGCGTTGGCTCGGGCACGTGCTACGTATGCCTGGTCACCGCTTACCTAGGAGGGCCTTGTTTGGTCTGCCAGGTGTAGAGTGCCGCAAGACTCGAGGTGGACAGAAGTTGACTTGGCAGCGGGAAATGAAGTCAGTGACGACCAAACTGGGTGCCGTTGGTCCTTCTCGCCTTCCGGGCTGGAGTCCACGTGACTCGCCTTCTGTTTGGCTCGAGACTTTACAGGACATGGCTCGCAACCGACACCAGTGGCGTGTCTGCTGCCGTCTTCTAATCGGATTGCCTGTTAAAGTTTGTTTGGTGCTGAGTTATTTGCTAGGTGATGGCTGATTATGACGCGTGGAAGTGAAAGCCGCAAAGAAGCTGTCTCGCCGATGCCGCCTTATCTTTGCACGATAGTCAGATGTTTGTGACGGTATGTTGTCTACACAAGGTGTAGGCGCCTTGACCCTGAATGTTTGCTTAGGGCATAAAGGTATTCAGGTAAGTCCCCCTTCTCTCCCTCTTATTATTCTTTATATCATAGGTTATCAATGGTTGGATGGCAGCGAAGCATCAGTTCAAATGGCTGATGTACTGCTTTTGTTGTTGTTGCTGCTGCTGCTGCTGTTGTTGTTGTTGTCGGCCAAAGAAACCATGATGGAACTTCCTGAGAATCAACTGAGTCCAACGACAACCATACGACCTGAAAGTTTTTGGGAGCTCCTGAACCTCTGCATGACCACTTATTTTCGCTTTGATGGACAAGTTTACCAGTAACTGAGAGAAACACCCATGGGATCCCCAATTTCCGGGCTCATTGCGGAAGGCGTAATGCAGAAATTGGAGCGCATTGCACTGCCATTTACCAGCCCACAACTCTGGATACGATACGTGAACGATACTTTTGTCATCGTAAAACGGAACAGAGTACTGGCCACGCACCATTTCCTCAACAGCACATTCGAGGATATAAAATGCATGATTGAATCAGAGTAGGACAACAGGTTACCATTTTTGGATGTACTGTCACTGGGTATACCGAGTGATCTCTGAAAACGGGTGTATATCGGAAGAAAACACATACGGACCAGATATTAAACTAGTGGAACATTCTCAGTGATTCATCAAGAACATCAGTCTGAGGCAAACAATTGTTTTCAATGATTCATCTTGTAACAAGAAAACTGACGCAAGCGATAAGGAACACCTTTCCGGCTGCAGAGTTACGATGCATCTTCGCCACGAATCAGCTAATTCCTGTGTGCATCAAGGACAGACTGCCGAAGCTGACCTCTTCTTACGTTATCTACCGATTTGATGGCACTTGTGGGGCAACATACATTGGTCGGACGGCTCGTCAACTGTGACGTCGCATTAAGGAACATAGCCCTAAATGGTTGTTGAACGGGGGGCACCGGAGTGCTTACAAGCGGTATTTTGTCTCATCTGTTCGAATTAGTTCACCAGATTAACCTCCCGAATGCCTTTACTGTGATTTATCAGGTTCCAATGAGCAAATCGAAAGGTACGCGGTTAAGGATGCTCGCCACTGCAGAGGCCATTGCGATCCGCATATTCCAACCCCCGCTGCGCTCGCAGAAAAAGTTTGTTCGATCTCTATACCTGCCCTGGCCGAACAGCCATCAGCCTAGCCGTCACCCTGACATCAGCTCAGGCATTGTGATTACGTAACCCTCAATCGATCTGTGTGCATGAGACAGCGGCGAACTATCCGCTGTTTAACCATTGACCGAGTCAGTTCAGACCAATCCCCCGAGCCAATCACTACCCATCCTTTTATAACTTAACCTTATATGATTGTACCGGCCTGTAGATGAATCATTGAAAACAATTGTTTGCCTCAAGCTGATGTTCTTGATATTAAACTAGCACAGTAACCATCCGATGAATCGAAAGAAGAGCTGTATTCAAAGCCAGTTCAAAAAAGCGGGAACACACTACGGCACAGCAGAACCGCGGAAATAGGAAGAAAAGCACTTATATCGGGTGTTTAGAAACAACGGTTATCCGAGAAAATTCATCAGAGAAAGCTTAAAGAAACGAATGTCTCAGCATCAGCAGCAGCATGCGCCTGAGCAAGAAAACAAACGAATAGTGCTTCCCTAAGTCAAGAAAGTCTCCGAACTAACAGGAAGATTGCTGCAATCACATGGAATCTCTGTGGCTCACAAACCAAGTGCCACCCAGAGGAAATTGATCTCAAGACCCAAAGAAAAAGTTAAGCAAGCCGACAAATGCAATATCATCCACCAGATAAAATGCGGCGACTGCGATAAAAACTACGTTAGACAAACTGGATAAAAAGCTTTCTACACGAGTCACAGAACGCAAGGTGGCTCTCAGAAGACATGATCCGCACTGAGTGGTTTCTGCGCATGAAGATCAAGAAGGCCACCATTTCGATTTGGAGAATGTATGTCTTAGCACATGAAAGGATAAAACACGCGAGGGAGTTTTTGGAAGTCTGGTACTCTACAACGAATTCAATCAATCGACACATCGAACTGGACACAGTATACGCAACACTACTGGCGAACGACCGACAACTCGACCGATTGTATCCGGTGGGACGTGTGACTCGACAACCAGAACTGACGACAGACTCGCTCAGAAGAGCAAACAAACAAAGGCCACGGAACACAAGGGGTTAAGGTCAGACGGCATCTGCCCATCAACCAAGCTGAAAGCGGGTCGAAGTCCCATGGACAACCACGACGTTATAAAAACGCACGCACACCACGCTCAGCGCACTCTCACCGAGGCTCCTCTACGTTACTATACGTCACTCAACTACGCACTGATGATGTCAATTCGATTTGTGACGAAACGTTTGCAACAAAATTGCCCAGGTCAGCGAACAGTTCAACCGCCATCTAAACACCTGAGGTACCAGTCTTCACTTCTGTAAATTTGTAAGTGCCACGGATGTAATTGGCGGAGAAAAGGTACAGAATACCGAAACACCTGCTATATGGCCAACATTTTTCAGGGAAGAGGAATGTGGGCAGATCAAGTCTACCCTACCAGGACATGATAGAAGTGACTTTATCATGGACTAAGGGTGTTGGGTGTAAATGTCAGTCAATGACCGTCAGCTGCGTGATTATGTTATGAATACCGTAGCCCAGGTACATCAAAAAGAAAAATGTCGGTTAAGCAAGCGTCAGATACCGATGGCTTTCAACCTGCCGACATCATTTAGGTGGAGCTGTAGCACATGCGGTCGAGTGTGCCTCAGCCGAGTCAATCCGTGGTCACGATGGACCAATATCGAAGAGGCGACGAGTTAGGTGAATGGTAATTACGCCGGCTCCGACTCCAATCACCAACCCAAACCAACGAGAGATAGACGTGGCACGTGTGCCTCTCGTCATTGAGGGTGGCTTGTACATGCGCTTGTGAGTTTAGTTTGCCGCATGATTGACAGCATCTTATGATTGTTAGCTCCGGTCTCGTTGCACTCGGTGCGAATGCTGACAGGGTGATTGTCGAAATCCACCACCTCTATCACGGGCTCCAAGACACCGTGACCCGTTGCTGAGGGGAACGAGGTGCGCAGTCTTCGTGGTTCCACTCAGTAATAAACGCGCTACAACCCAATCACCACTCCGTATATGTCTGGTATGCGTGCCTCTCCCTCTTGCTGACCCGTCGTCTCAAGGACAACAAACGTATTTTGTAATCCGGGATCACGGTTTCGAGCCTGCGTAGAGGACCGGGCGACTGGTGATGGTCGCGCGGCAACGAAGAGCCGGTACTGTGTACAGGCGTATCGTTGATGCCTTTCTTTCTCTCTTCTTGCTCACCCCTGTTTCATATGAATGGTGTGCATGTTGAAGGAATGCGGTCTGGCTCCGAATCAACCACAGCTCCCATCCACTTGCCTTCAAATCTTATTACTTCGGGTTTGCACCGGATGTGTGTTGATGGAGTTGTTGGTGGTTCAATACGGGCCAACCATGGTCCTTCTGTAGGCACACGCGTTCTGTGGCTGTTCGCAGTCGCAGTGAGAGGCAAATATGGAAACGGAGGCCGACAACCATATATTTTGTAACAATGAACAAGGGTTGTTCGATTCGAGTATGTTGACTCGTTACTAAAAAGTGAACCTATCACATTGTCGTACTGACTAGGCATCAATATCTACTGCACCTAACCCTCACCTGTTCGCTGATCTAAGGACAACGTATGGAAGAAATCTTGTTCGCTAGCTTCTGATTGGAGTATCCTCTCTGGGACTGTGTATTCGATTGAAACAGTCTAACGATTTCACTGTTTGAAGGGTTTAGTAGGGTTCGTGAAATTCGCAACAGCGAGTGTTTTCATTGTGAATATCCAAAACTATTATAAAATGTTTAGAAACATTTGGATTAATGTAAGTATTGTAAAGCAGAAAGAAACCAAAAACTGGGTCTTCAGCTATGCGCTGACACGTGTCAAACCATAACCACCACGCAGTTCTGCACGATTTCGCGTGCGGAAGACAAAACCTTGCAAGCACCCGAATCGGATTTGGGTGTCGTAGAGTCGAAGAAGCACTTACTACGAGAACCCGACGCAGGAATAGCAGATCGCGTCGTGTAACTTGCGGTGGTACGACAGGCCACACTGGTCATGGGGTCCGAGTGAAGAGGAGTCGATTTAGTCACCGGTGCAGGAGAACAGTTGGAGCGCACATCCGTTGATCTACCCTGAAAAGATAGGAAAATCGGGTAGCTGTTTGAGACACTGCACTCGCTAACATGCACACTTGGTGAATCGTTCAAACGCTGACTTGAGCGTAAGCATCGGAGTGCTTCCCAGACGATAGTACATGCATCAAAAGAATTCGAGTGGTTAAGATCGATTTGACAAAATACATCGGCAATCGGAAGCTCATCTCGGGTGCTTAGTATCATGTCGATCATACCGTGTGAGACAGCAAAACAACTAGGTGACTTACAACAGTGGTCTCCATATTATTGGATCGGTCCAAGGTTTTCTTGCCGACAAAATCAAGACCATTCCATCCACTGATGGTGGGTGTGGGTGCGATAGGCAATTGACTAGAACCGGATAAAGTAGCCGAACTCGTTCGCACACTGGGCTGAATACTGTTGATTGCAGAGCTGGTAGAGCTGAGAAGATTGCAAGTGGCATACGCCGGAGCATTTGCGACTTTGGAAATGATCGTACAGCTCGGCTGATATAGAGAAGTGGCCGGCTGCCAAGGTGGTGCGATGGCCATCCCATTCACAGCAGCTGCTGCGGTGCTGTTTGGAGTAGAGAACGGTCGAGATGAATAGACAGCATTGATCGGCGTTGGGAAACCAGTTGATCTCAGACGTTGCTGTGCTTGGTCAAGTTGTTTCTCGGAAACTTGTCGATTCAACCAGCCAATGACTAGAAGGTGAGGAAGAGAAGTGAAGGTGGTCACATGATGAGCGATTTGATTAGACAAATCGGGAGCGTACGGCTAGTGCAGCGGTTATTATCACCTAATCGAAATGTGTACCCACCAGGATTGTACAACTTAAACAACATTTGGCTATGGAGAAGGTAACTCAAGTTGCGTCATAAAACTGAAAATACCTATGTGTGACTGAAAGCTATTACTAAACCGGTTACTAGTCGGGAGGAATGCTAAAGGACGGAATTAGTACACTGGTTGAAATGTGCCGACATGTTAAGCAAAAAGAGATACGTGGCAAGATCAAAACTAAGTGTATATTTGGGTGTGTAGTCTGCAACAGCCAACAGACCATTCAGTGACAAAAAGCAAGCATATGGGCCTAGAGTTCAGGGTAGAACAAGTAAAATACTCTCATGCAAAATCAAAAAAGAACGATTACTTTTTCATGCACTAAAACAAACCATCCGCTTTAATTTGATTCAGTTGAACAAAAAACGCCGTAAAATCCCAAAAACTCATGGCGGCATAAGCTGATTTTGACGATAAATCAATGAAGCCGCGTAGAGGGGTCATCAATAACAGCGCGTTCAATAACGAGGCCTGTTCAGTCTTGGCCTGATTGGGTGTTTGTCTCGTCTTCCGGATGCAATCCGCTCAAACTGATTCGTCGCCCTAATCACATTCTCCATTATTTTCTTATGTCTAACTTGTTGAACACTCCGTAAATACTGTTGCTCTTCCTGTCCATACACAAAGAAGCGTATCCTGTTACGATTTTCTCCCAGTTGCACTGCGTATAAGGATAGAAAGCGGATCTAACCATAGCAACCAAGGTTGTTTGGCTGACGAGGTGCTCAAGACGGAAAGCTGCATAATTTTATGCGCACGCTATCGTCATGGATACGACGCGTAATCACGATAGACTACAGACCACGATGCTTAGCGGTTTGGGAATGCACTCGAAACCGATGGTGCTAAAGTAGGAGCTATGCTCGATTTATCGAGATAGTGTCAAGTGTATGAAAGATTGTAGAAAATAATAAACTAGTAAACACCCTGAATAGCTTGATCCCGACCATGTACTACACAAGCGGTTCTGTTTCAGAGTGAATCAGGCGAGTCAAGATTAAGAATGGGAATTCAAATTCGGAAATTGAAAACTGGCAACAGACTACCGAGCTTCGCAAAAGACGCGTGCCCCAAGTGTTACAGATTCGCAATCTTTTCATTAGAATAGCTGTTAAGCATTTGAGGTAGAGTTAATTTTCCCGTGATTTATCGCGAAGTAGGTTTCTGAGGCTATCTGAATTAGCTAAATGCTAGATATCGCCAGTCAAATAGTGAAGGCAGCCAGTGGTAATCTCAACTCTTTTTTTTCTCTGAGGCTCGAGTCGCAGTTACCCAATGATTCTAAATCCACCCGACGTCCCTCATGGCTCAGTGGCTTAAGCTGCTGGCTAGTTTGCATCTGCCTCTAGCGGTCGAGTTGGATCCCCAATAAGGGACCGAGGAAATGCGCAACACTGATGAGCCCCAATAGGGCGAAACGCGTCTGGTGCTTTTCCGGGCTCCTGGGACGAAAACATTAAAAAAATTAAATTAACCCAAATCCAATTAACACATCGTATTGATGTAATCCCGTTAGTGTAAAGTTCATCATCATCATCATTATACACATTAGCTACAGGTGGGAAACACCTGTGCCGCAATACTTAAAAGGAAAAAGGGAATAAAATACAAAAAGTGCAAGCCAGCTGAGCTACCGATAATGGATGCGTATCGTTCCTGTAAGCAACCTGCCGGCTAATATGCAGCAGAAATAATTTACTATGCAGCAGAAATAATTTACTATGCAGAATTATAAAAAGCTAAATAGTGAGATCGTGGTTGGAGGGGGAGACTAAGAGGGATGGAGTGGGACAAAGAAACTCACAGCACGAACGCAACTGAGGACGGCTCCCAGGCATATAAACAAGTGTTTCCAGCCAAACGTGTTCATCGTCTTTTGGACCCCAATCAGGGAGCCGAGACGCTCCAACCGAGGCCAGCTTCGAAGTGAGGGCCTTCATTCCTCTCGACCAAGTCATCGCTTGACTACCTCTCCTTCCATCCACACGTCCGGCGCGCAAAAACGCACGTCGCGGGAATCGGTGGGTTGGCATGTGGCCCAGCCATCGGAGACTGGTGCGCGAGATAACGGTGCTGAGCGGGTCATTTCCATTTCCTGTGCCGTAAACAAGGCATCGAACACGCTCGTAGCTCACTCGGTGTTCCCACCAGATGTGAGCCAAACTGCGAAGGCACCGATGGTCGAACGTAACTAGCCTCTTTATGTCCGCTGATCTAAGGGTCCAGCTTTCACAACCGTACAGTAAGGTCGAACCTACCGCTGCATTGTACACTCTACCCTTCAGCGTGAGAGTGATGTTGCGCCGGCACCATAAGTGATGAAGGTTAGCAAAAGCGCTTCGAGCTTTTGCGGTTCGTGATCTCATCTTTAATCCCACGGGCGCTGATACAAGTTCCCAAGTAGTTAAATTTTTGAACGACTTCTAGCTGATCCCCACCAAACGAAGGAGGCGGTCCAGGCCAATCTTGGAGAAACGCGTTGCACTTCGATGGTGCGAAGCAAAGTTCGAGGTGACGGACAGCCAGTGCTTCATCATCATCATCATCATACACGTTAGCTAGAGGTGGGGAACACCTCAGCTACTGTGCCGCAATACAAAGAAAAAAGGAGAGAAAGAAAACAACTGGTGAAAGTTGGCTGAGTTACCGGTAACGGATGGGCATCGTTCCGGTAAGCTACCAGCCGGCTACTGTGCACCCAAAAAAATTATTATGCAAAATTATATAAGGCTAAGTAATGAGATCGTGGTTGGAGGGGGAGGCTAAGAGGGATGGGGTGGGACAAAGAAACTCACAGCATGAACGCCACTGAGGTCGGCTCCTAGCCATATCAGCCAGTGCTTATCTGTCCATTGTTTCTTGGCATGTTTGTGAGCTATCACAGACGAAGGCAATATCGTCAGCACACTCCAAGTCCAGAAGTCGTTCTCCTGGGAGCAGATCCACACCTTCCAAGTCGTGTCCTGTCCTCGTATAAATCATCCACAAGAGCAGGTCCCCCGAATTTGAAGAGGGCTGGAGGAAGATCATCTGGTCCCGCGGTTTTATTTAACAGTCCGATCTCAGGTTCGACTTCTGAGGGAGAGGGTGAATCCAAAGAGACAGCCCAACGCTTCAAGCGTTTTGACAAGTTGTGAGTAGGCTGTCCACTCACGTCACGTATAGTTTCACTAACACCAGGTCTTTTGCTGCCCGTTTCCCGTATCAGCCGGAATAACTTGCGATGGTTACCAAGGGCAGCGGCCACTTCCATCTCTGACGCACGACGAGACCATCAAGATTCGCGGTCTCCCATCAGGCTAGCACGGAGTTTTGCCCGGATCTCTTTGCGAGTTTCGTTGTGTTCGCTTCCAGCCGGAATATGCCGGCAAGCATCCATAAGTTCCAGAGACTGCGAAGAGACCCAATGTCCATGTTGGTGATTAGACTTACCACATGAAGATGTTCCTGCTGCTAGTAAGGTCCGGTGAATATGAGACCAGTAAGCTTCAATTGCATCCAGTGAGCGCTTACTCAACTCGCACGAAAGCGTGCTTTGATAGGCATTCAGAACAGCTGGTTTCGTCAGTTGGCTGGTGTCAATGCGCTCACAGCATCACCGTGGGCGTACCCCAAAACGCATTCGCATGTCATCACATACAAGTGCATTGTTGGTGTCCACACAAGTGCTCCAAATCGAGCGGCAGGTCTGGACGCAGCCTCTCCATCGGTAACTTATCGTAATGTGATCAATTTGCGTCCATAGCTGGTTCGAGGCTGGTTGGCGCCAAGTCACCCTCCAGCGGGTGCTGTGTCGAAAAGTAGTGCTAGCAAGAAATCAGAGAGCATCTTCACACAAATGAAGTAACTGCTCACCGTTATCATTGCGGGAGCCTACACCATGTTGACCGCCCAGATGTAGTTCAACAGCCGGTGGCCGAGTGGTCTGCACATTTGCTTTGCAACCATAAGGTCACCGGTTCGAATCTGCGTAGGGGTGGGCGTCCTCGCGGTAAACTCAGCCCGCGCGCGACTGGTGGTGGCCGCGCGGCAGCGAAGCGCCGTTACGGCGTGCAGCTGACACATTACTTACTTACTTATTGAGCGTTCAGAACCCCAGCCAGCACAACAGTGTCCGAGCTTCTTCTGTATCGAAAATGCTCGTTCAATTGGCGATAGAAGTCGTATTTTACCGAATCATTATTAGAGTTTGTGGGTGCATAGGCAGCGACAAGGAATAAACACCTGTTAGTCCCGCATGACTTCGAAGCTTTGAACGAGCCAGCCAATCGGACCGCACACAGCCGGCTACTGATTGGAATCCAGTCAACCAGAGTAGCTTCAGTCCGGGGACTCAGGGCGATGCCAATACCAACTTGGCCGGTGCTCGAAGTTGCATCGTCACCGGATAGGTGCAATGAGAAAGTGCTGCTGGTGTCACTTGAAGGGGATCGCAAAGTGAGCACTGAGCTCGAGTCTTGCAGGCAGATCTCTGATTAGCAGCAGATATCGATCGAGAGTGTCTCTAATGTTCGGGTAAGTGCTGCCTGTTGACCGATCTGTAGCCATGTGCGTACATTGAGGCATGCCAATCTGAAGGATGATCGAGGTCTCCAAATGGAAGCCGATGAACTGGAATGGACCGCTTGGTTGGACATCGACCTGTCGACAGGAGAGGAATGACTCTCCGCGTTCACGTGTGAGTTGAAACTAAAAGATAAAAGCCTATCAAAGGAAGGTGGGGGAGGGCCGAAAATTCGGTTAAAAACAGGGGGGATAAAAGTGAAGCTGGAACGGGGCAGTGAGAATGAAAAAGCGTAAGAGGGGGAATAGGGAGATGGGTAGGCTTGAGCAGTAGCATTCAAACACCTATCCACCTTGC